AATGTTAACATAGTATTCATCATAAAAAGCACCAAAGACTTTAAGTAAAAATAAAATTAAGATAAACAGACTCAATAACTCTTTACCCTAAAATATCCTTATTAAAATCTTTTATTACTTTGTATTTACTAGTAAAAGAGCAAAATAAACACTAATTAATTTCTTATATTCTAAAAAATCCCATTTCAAGTGAAAAAAGTGATATTGTTAGCACCATAAAAAGTTGTTATTTACTTTGGTATAAATTGAACAGAGGTGTGAAGGTGTGAAAGGCAACAAAAGACTGTTGTGTTTTAAATGAAAGATGTTTGCATTTTATTTATACTGTTGACTGGTTACTAAACAATTAGATATGACATGAATATATGTTGTAAATATTGTTTGTAAAAAGTATGTTAAAACTATAAAGTTGTAAACATGTTATGTTAACTTTAAAGCAGCACGCCTCCAGATTCATCCTAATTTTCATGAAAATTTTGAAAATGTATTTAAAGGTAAAATATTGTTAAATGAACAAAGAAAGTACTTGACATATTACAATCGGCACTTAAAATCCACGTAAATTACCAAAAAGAGGTCAAAACATGCATAAATAGCCCCTACTGCGTTAGTAACGCAGTAGAAATATGGTGATAAATACTACAAAATACAGTCATTAATTGCACATAAGATATAAATTATCACTTGAATTACTTTTCTCAAAGTTTTAGTAATTTTTTTCCAAGTTTAATTTTCTTGAAATATTTTTGGTCATCTGGAGGCATGCAGCTTTAAAGTAAATTATGATTTTATTTCTTTGCTGAATAATATTTGCAATTATTTGTTTGATACTGTATTTATTCAAACTTTGATGAATATATAAAAGTAATGGTACTGATACTTAATTACTTCACCAAAAAAAGTACTGGTACTGCAGTACCGAGCTAAAATCTAGTACTGGTACTGGTAATGGTACTGCATAATTTGCCAAGTACTGGTACTGGTACTTAAGTACTACACCCTTAGTACTGATGCAGCTCTGGACAGGGTGGACCTTATGTTTTGACATGGGGACCATATTTAGGGACAGGGCGGACCATGAATAAAGACGAGGCGGACAGTGGTCAAGATTTAAAAAATAATTAAATATTGATATTTCTTTTTATCTTTTAAAAATCATTATAAATGTATGCATATAGATCTACTTATAAATGCAGTTTATAACTTTAAAATAATTTTTTTAATGAATTTATTAATAACAGCGTCAATTTGAACATTAGGCAGGTGATAATTGACCAATTATTGGGATATTAGTATTATTACATGTTATTGTTTGTTAAATAATAAGACGGTAACACTGCTAAAAATGAAAATGTTAATTAAACAATATGATACAGAAAATACTTGTTATTCCCATCTGATGTTTGAAACTGCTAAATGGAGAGTTGTATCATTGGCCTGTGTTTTTACAGCATCAAGAACAGGTTTTGGTTGTTTCTAATTGATAGGTATGAAATTCGGCAGATTATCTAATACTATGTAACGTTTCTTTATTGAATGGTAACAAAAGATTATTTGCAACAATCAATGTCTGTGATGAAATGTTAACAATATTTTCTAATTGAAATTAAGTTTAGCGGTTTGTTTTTCTTTTGCAAATTCTGCTTACTTTCAATTGAAAACCTGTTTTTAATGCTATACTGATGATATTTCATTATCATTCCGAAATGAGTTACTGTATGTGTATTTAAATTCGCGGAAGCAAATTTTCGCGGAAAGGTCCACTTTGGGGGTATATACAAATATTCGCGCTATTTTGAATTCGCGGAGGTGACTGCCAAAATCATAATTTCGCGCACACCAATTAGGTTAAAAAATAAGAGAAATTACTCTTAATAGATTAGGCAATGGTTTTCGCAAGCAGCCTTCTTTAATTTTAAATACTTTTTATTACTGTAATCGTTGTGGGACTTCATAGTTATTTTCAACACCTGGTATCAAACAATACACTATTGTACAGAACAAAGACAATTAAATTTGTCTTGCGGACATATTATGGCAAACAAAAGAATGTCCGTTAACGTGCGTGATTTTTCACAGTTTTAAACAGCACTGAATAAGACCATAATCTTTTCACCGATTTTGTTAAAATGTTGATTGAGTAATAGTGTTTTGTTTTCCATGTTTTCATCAGTTAAAATCGTTAATATTTGTGTTGTTTGTAAAGTTTGTTTAGGGAAACAAAATATAATCTGGTCAGATGTCAAGACGTTTATAGCTCAGACTATGAAATAAATAGCGTGGTGCAATGGTATTGTTCAAACATTTATTTATACTTACACAAGAATCTAATAAACATATCAGTCAAGTAATAATACTGTAGCAACCGAATTTATATTTAGAGCTGAATGCTACATGTACAGTTTATACAAAAGTAAAATCACTCTTTGAAAGCGCCACGGATACCAGACTTATGGCAGCCGTGAACACCCTGATATACATTGTTCTATAGAAGCGCGAAAATATTACTATTAAGAAATTATTGGTGTAGAAATATTCGCGCTGAACATAAATTCGCGGGTCGAATGTCACCGCGAAGATCGCGAAAATTTGAAGCCCGCGAATATTTCTACACATACAGTATTAAGGCTATTTTATAGTGAAAAAGAAATGAAAACGAAAAGAATTTTTTTTAAAAGAAAATGTTGAACTTAAATATCAATAAAGTAAATGTTCAATTATGTCTTTTTTACCTGCATGCTATAGATAATACTTCAAATTGCAAATCACTTTTTCATTGGTTTCACCCCAAAAGATGTCAATTGATGCCAACATTACTTTTAGAGACAATAGGAACTTAAAACCACCATACTATTAAGACCACATTTCTCTTCAGATCCACAAGTAGTCTCATTAGTGGGGTTCTACTATACAAATAGATCAAATTGAAAATATCCAAAGAAGAGAGGGTCGATGGATCAAGATACATTGTAGATTATGGTCAGACCTCTAGCTTCATGGGCATGCTTATTCCCTTAAGCTTTGAAAAGAGAACTCAGACGCATAGATGCTAGGTTATCCTTTTTCTATAAGATGCACCATGGTTTGAATACAATCCCCATAGAAGAATATGTGACACCCATTTCCTTAACTTCACACCATTTACATTAACTTCAGACTGTTATAAATTCTCCTTCTTTCCAAGGACTATACCATTGGAACCACCTACCCCCTGCAGTTTCCCTACTCCCTACCCTAGAGCAGTGCATTGCAGCCATAGCTAGCATTGAACATATTACCGTATTAACATTTTTAAACATTCTTCTTTTACATGTATCCTCTTTAAACAACCCTTTCTTGCGATTTTGATGCGCAGACATGACTACTTTCCCACTTTCCTCTGCCAAAAATCATCGAACCATGACCAAATTCGAACTTGACCTATATTTTCTCATGACATATCCATATGTCAAGTTTGAGTTGAATGTGTTGTATCGTTGGGGAGATAATGAACGGAAACTGAAAATTTTATATTATTTTAAAGTAAAAGGGGCATAACTCTGCCAAAAATCATCGAACCATGACCAAATTCGAACTTGACCTGTATTTTCTCATGACATATCCATATGTCAAATTTGAGTTGAATGTGTGCAACCGTTACTTAGATAATGAACGGAAACTGATGATGACGGAATGACAGAATGACGGAATGACGGAATGACGGAAGGACGGAATGACGGAAGGACGGAAGGACGGAACAGGGTAACACTATATGCCCCGGCCATTACATGGCGGGGGCATAAAAAATGTTGACCCGACTGGGATTTGAACTCCAGACCTCTCACATACCAAACGAGCGCGTTACCCCTGCACCACGGAGAAGTTTTAAAATCAAAAGCTGAATGAAATCAAGTCATTCTAAATTTAGAATTTCCATTGCATTTCGGGTTTTTAAAGCAGCACAGGCTGAATAAAATCAAGTTATTCTTAATTTAGAATTTCCATTGCATTTCGGGTTAGGGTAATTTCGAGGTATTTTGTTCAGGGTTAACCTGTTGTTTAAAATTGAAGTAAATAGTTTAGCAAAAATCTTCTCGCCCAAACAGTCCAACATGTAGAAACTATATATTCAACTACTCGGCAGTCAGATTTATTTGTGTAGTATTCGGTAATCGACATCGCTAAAAATAGCATTTTCATTGATTAAAATCATGTTCATCCGCGTAATTTGTGAGTGTGCATTTATTGACAATTCTATATAAGCCAACGCTACTTTTAAAGTTTGAATGTGTAGTAATTTGTTGGACACTTGTAACAAAAAATTGTTCTTTCTTTTAAATTGCTGGTTTTTAAGCAGTTTTGAGTGAGAACTAATTTGCGTTGTTAGGTCTGTTAGGAAATTTTGTGTCAGACCGTGGATGTTAGCTATGTATTATCTGATCTGCGATCAGAAAATAAAAAAACGAATAAATGCTTCAGTATCTTGGCAGGAATTGAACCACTTCATGGGAGCTAATACCCGAATATCGTCGATTTCTTTTTCCTGACAAACATTCTTTAGAGCTTTTGATAAAAAAATTCTGTCAAAAAATAAACGAAACCACCTGCTTTAAATTTTAAAAGGTAAAAATTAAATCATTTAAATAATGTACATTATTACTCGCATTACAAAGAACACTGAAATGTTAATGTTGATAATATCAAACTGCTTGTTTCAAACATTTCTTGTGAAAATATTTATTTATTCACTTGGGGAAGCTATATAGTTAATTTATAATAATCAGTAGGTTTACTTTACTGTCCCTATTTGTCCTCATTATTCTAAAAAAGGACATAACCTAGCTTATTTACATATTTATTCGAGTCAAAAGTCATAATATGCAAAAACCCAATTTCAAAATGCATTTTACATGTGCTTATCCTTTTCTTTTGCAACATACAATTTACAAGAAATGCACTTTATATAGTTGCTTTTATGATTGTTATAAATAATATTTTATTTTTATTTCAAATATTTACAGATATTGATCACAGACTTTTTTCCAATATTGAAGCCCAAGGGTGTATAAACCCCAAAAATTACCCGAAATTTTTTTCCTAACAAAGGGATTTTTAACCCAATTTTTCATCCCCCCAAAATTTAAACCAAAATTTAACTGTTCTAAACCCAAATAAAATAAAGTGCCTGAACCATTTTTTCCCGGGGAACCCAAAATTCCCCCAATTTTTTGCTGAACAAAATTTCGTCCCATTTTGGGCCCGAACCTAAAATATGTTGTTCCCTTTAAACCCAAATCAAAAAACCCGGGGAAATTCCCGGGAAAATTTAAATTTTTATTTTCCCCTAAAGGGAACTTTGATGTTAAGCTTACTGAACTTATCTATTGATTCATATTTATTTTCAGTTTCTTTAATCGTACTTTATTTAAGTTCACTCAACCATATTTAATGTAATTTATATATTTTCGAAACCTTATTTACTATGTGTCTCCTGGCCAAAATCCTGGCCAATATCGTAGGGTTAATAAACAATTAAAACTAATACACTTTATAATCAGCTAAAACAACTGTAGCATTTGTGTCAAAAAGATATACCAAAAGGCTACAAAATGTCAAAACTGTGGGTTTTTTTTTAACCTTTTAACCTAATTTTTGGTGAATTGTGATAATCTTAAAGTTGCTATGACATGATGTTTCTTTTCTCCTTAAATGTAATACATATTTATAAATTTCAACACAGAATTTAAATAATATATGGTTAGTGCACTAAAATCATAAAATAAGGGCAAGTTTTAGGAGCTTCCTAATTTTGAACGTTTTTTGGGGGGATTATTTTACCCCACCCACTTTTTAAACTCTACTATTCTGTGATAAATGCTCTGGTAAAAAAAATCATGCTTTTGTTATCAAGAAAGGTTCAAATGATAAAGAACACACAGTTAAAATACAATTTTCTTTACATTAAACTGAAATTATAGAGTAAAGACATGCTTTGGGAATATTGTAATTTTTTTTTTAAAAAATTGGTAATTTTACCCCACCCACTTTTGAAACTCTACTCTTACAGCATAAATGCACAGATAATAATTTTTTATGCTTAACTTGTCTAGCTATGTTAAATTGATAAAGTACACACAATTTAAATGCATTTTCATTTATATTGTGTTAATACAGAAAAACGAAAGTCATCAAATTGTCAAAAAGTGTTATTTTTCACCACTTTTTTGGTAAATTGATAGTGATAATTTTAAAATTTGCCATATAATTGTCATTTTTTCTTGATTGCATCATAAATTTACCATATTTTATCTGATATTGTGCAATTAAAACTGTTTTGTTTAAAATCTTAAAAGTAAAAAATTCAAGAAACAAAAATTATATGGTATTTTGTAATTTATGGTGGCCATATTGGCGGCCATCTTGAATTTTTGTACTTTTGCCCGGGCTGCGTAACTTAAGAAATGGGTTTTTTTAGAAACTACAAACAATATGCTTTACAATGGCAATGTTTGTTTTGGTGATACAGTAAGTGGCAATAAAACCCCGCCATCTCTTGGACTAAATATTTTACATAATTTATATATTATTTCTGAACATTAACTACTGTATATTTCCTGGCCCATATATTAATTTTCACAGAACCACATTTAACATAATTTATATAAATTTTGTTAACCTTAATTACTGTATGCTGACCTATATTGTTTGTTCACTGAACCAGATTAAACATTGTTTAATATAATGTTTACATAATTTTTCTTAATCTCAATTACTGTGTGTTTCATGGCCCATATGGAACAATATTGACTGGCAGTTCCTTGGTCCTTTACTTATTTAGATTTCTAGAACCTTCATTTCTTTACTTTTTAACCTCAGTTATTGTCAATCAACATATCTTCAATCACTTAAGTTACTTATAAAGTCTGTAACTTTTCGGAACCGTGATGACCGTAACATTTTAGTAACATGATAACTAGATCGATAAAAAATATTGCAGTGTGGCCAAACCTTCAGAATGTGAAAGACTACTGTTACAATAACAATCATTGTGTCGATTGTCAACAAGATCTAATAGTAAGAGCAGCATGTAAGTAAAAAAAACTAAAGATGTATTTTGATAATTTGCATTAAGTTATATTTGTACATATACAATGATAAAAGTTATATACTTAAATGTTATGTTATAAAATATGTGATTTAAGAAATAAAGAAATAAACAGCAAACTCCTTGATGAAAGCGGGGTGTCTTACCCTTTGAAACGTTGTCGGTTGATACATTTTGTGCAATTGATAGTTATTTATTAATTAATTCATGACTGGTTTCTGTATACTAAATGACATGTATAAATTCCATATATTTTAAGTGAAATACCCGAGTGATCATAGTGACAGCTGTGAATGTTCTAGGAGTAAGTATACCGTTATCATAAAACATTTCCACAACTCCGTTACTATAATGCATGTTTGTAAAGCCGATTTTCAGTGGATAATCGTGATGTTTATTTAATTAGTTATAAAGATTTTGACAGGTTATATGGTCCTATATAAACGGTTGTTCGGAAATAAAACCCGAGCCGCTATGCAAGGTTCTATTGCAAACTACAGTTTATATACGTCCAGATAACCTGTCCGAAATATTTACAAGGTTAGCTTTTAAAAAAGCTAGTAGCGACTCGCTTCGTAATTTTTTTCAAGGGGTGTGCTTAAATGTAAAAATGACAGTTCTGTTAGCTGAAGAGACTTCAGCGAACAACAAAATAAAAGTGAAGTCAACACTGGCCCGGTGCCCGATGGCCATTGTATATAAGTTCAGCCCAGTGTAAATTTAAGAAAATGTTGTTAATTATTTAGTAGAATAAATTCAAAACTGGAATTAGGGCCAGTAAATTCAAAATCTTAAACTCATTGACTGAAAGTGACATATAAAGTTTTCTCAGTTTAACCAAGATGAGTATGAGTATGAGTATATATGAAGGTGCATATAAACAGATTGAAGAACCTATGTCTATGCACATTTACTATATGGCCTGTTGACCTTGACCACAAATTGTTAGATAGGTAGATTTCATAAAGATGTCTCTTTATACAAAATTAAGTTGTAATACATTTATGTTATTTAGTATTGGAATGAGAGGCACAAGTCCTAAAGTAAACACAAGTTGTCAATCAATTCAGCCAGAAAAGCCGGGATCCTATTAAAAAATATAGGGATCCCAGAAATTGACCAGTCTAAGAAGATGTTTTTAAGATAAGCCGGGATCCTATTAAAACATATAGGGATCCCGGGAATTGACCAGTTCAAGAATATAGTTTTCAGAAAAGCCGGGATCGTATTAAAATGTAAATAGATCTCACGGATTGACCAGTTCAAGTATACAGTTTTCAGAAAAGCTGGGATCGTTTTAAAACATATAGGGATCCCGGGATTTGACCAATTCAAAAAAATAGTCTTTGATTTTTCCAATTTATTAGGCATATAATTATAAGTTTGTTAATAAATAGCTCTAAATATATCTATATTCTAAGTTAAATTAATTTAACGTTCATTATATACAATAAAAAATTAACGTTTAATGGCCTTTCATTACGACAACAATCAACACAAATATAGTTCATTAGGATTTTCCTCCATATCTTATACGATCCCGGATCCCGGGCGTCCCGGATCCCGGCCAGTAAATACATACACTAAATACCGGAAAGGATAAAATGACCGGAAAAAGAGGAAAAATAAAAAATGCACAGAACCAGATGTACACTTATGTTAATTAACCAAACGAAAACTTACTACAGAGAAAACAGGTGAAATCGCTAAATCAGAAGTCAGTGTAAATATGATTTATTGAAAAGAATTCATACAGACAAACATTTTAATCATCATTATATCTTTGCGCTCAAAACAATACTTGCTGATTTTTAAAAATGGCGTGAAAATTGAAGGTTTTTTGACGCTATGTAAGGTTAAATTTGATTGGCTAAATAATTTTGGATCCTAGCCCTGATAGATAAATTTTGTAGAAAGCTGGAAGCCAAGCTTCGATTAAATTTTTGGATAGCTTCGGAGTTTTAGGTTGTTTCTCAGTAAAATCCTACCGTAATACCGGCTCGCCGTGGCGAGCCGGCATAACGAATTTATAATAAAGGAAGTATCTTCTTTTAGAGAAAAAATTGAGAAGACAGTAGCCGTGTATAAAACTATATAAATGTCACGATAATCCAATGAAAAGCGATGTTACAAACTTGCAGTATTATACTAGTATATACACACGACCACTGTAAATTTATGCCTCTTTTTTTCTTTTTTTTTTTTGCATCAGATAAAGACTTTGTGCCTGTATCATAAATACGTTAAATTATTATAGAGTTAGAATATATATTGTTAGCCGTGTTGTTAATATATAACTTTCGCCAGGCTGCCCTTACAACACCAGCTTACAACCGATTTTACAGGGCCATATAACCTTCAAAATGTTTGAAACTAACAATATACGTATCATTTATACTGTATTTACTTTAAAACACAAGGACATTGGCGTGAGAAATTTATTTCTAGTTGAGTACCGTTTTTACATTTTAACTAAATGCTGTCAGTTATTGCTGTAAGTATTCAAACAAAGGTTCTCTGCTTCTTTTTCTATGGTCTGTTAAAATGGAAACAGTTATTAATCTTTCAAGCATTATCATACAATACTTCCACGGTTTATAGTTAAGATGGTTTGTAAATTTATGTCTGATACTGAACTCAACCAACTCGACTATGCCTAATTACTGTATTTTGTCTAGTTTCAGTAACAACTAAACAACCAACACCAACAAGCACTGCAACCACGCCCAAAACCACGACTACAACTTCGACTACATCTACGACCAAAACCACGCGAACAACTACGACCACAACTACGACCACAACCACGCCCACAACCACTCGGTCGACAACAGTTATGGTATCTGCTACATCTCCAATAGTCATTCAGCCGTCAACGACTGCTAGTCAGACACCACGACCAACTCCTACTCTACGTAAATATTATGATTCCTTTATATGTGTTAAAGTGGATTGGTCTACAATGGACACATTATCCATGACTATTTAAAATTTAT